TGAAGCTTATTTATAGTTCTAGATAGGTTGTTTAGGCTGTACTTATACTCAAAGATATCTTCATTTGGTACTCTAAATACTCAGATGTAGTGTAGGTATATAAATATAAGACCTATAAGCTATGTTTAGTATAAGCTATATACAAAGGAACTATATTATAGATAAGGTAAAAGTAACGAGATCCTTAATAAAGGCATTTCTAATCTGACAAATTTGAATGAGAAATAGATCATCGCCATCATAGGACAATTCGGTTTGGCCGGGCGTCATGTTCGACTCGCGTGGGTGACACCATCTATTACTGTCTGTCGCCCCACTAACACAGTTTTTAGATGTATTAAATGTATGTATAGTTACTTCTCACATTACGATAAAAGATAATATGGAAAGTAAAGAGATAATTGTGTAAAGTTTTTAAATCATCCCAATGGCAGAGGTTTCTGCGAATGTTAGGGAATAGGGGACAAAACTGACACTTAATCTGCTCTTACCTCCAAAACCTTTACGCTGATCTAGGATGTTGACTCATTTTCTGATATTTATCTGTCCACTGTTATTTGTAAATACTGAGCACAAACTTGTAATAAATAAATAAATTTCTGTTCCTAAATTCTATTAAATATGTCATGAGGTACTTTCGCACTTTTTTGTGAATGGTGAACGGGTTTCAATAAATTAACTTATCCGCATAATGGGGAAACCAGCGCAAAATACGATACACATGCCATTATATCATTTGCTTAGCTACGCAAGTGGAATAATTAAAATGTTATGAATAATTGCAGTGGGATAGGCATTTCAAATACTTTATACCAATAGTAACTGCTTACATAGTTGGTCAATAAGTCAATGTATATAATTAGCGGGGTGAACTTATAAGGAAATAAGAAAAACTAGTACCTAAATAGTCTCACAGTTATATGTATAAATAATAGTGCAGGTCAGTGATGTGATAATATGCGGATAATACTAAAACGTGAGACGCCGTAATATGTAACTGTCCAATTATCAGGTTGACTGTCTATGTTGAAACGACTTCCAAACAAAGAAGCTCTCAATTCGCCTTTCTTTTTTTTTTTGTGCATACCTGCACAAAAAAGTGAGCGATCTCTTTGCCAATGCTACACCGATTATAAAAATGCCTTTTGATCTTGAAAGGATTTATGACCCTGAAGTTCAGCTTTGCTAGATTAGGTATTTATAAATTATGATTAAAACTTTTTCGAACCGAAATAGGTTTGAAAAATTTTGGGCAAATGTTTGGAGAAAAGTGAGACGGGCTTGGGAGAAATTTATGTAATTATTTTTATGGATACCTACTCTGTTTATTATTATCATTTCAGCCATTCATTGTTGAATGGTTGAATACAGTCGTTAGTTTTATATAAAATGGGTGACAAGACTCTGTGGGTTACATATTTGCGTATAATATAGTCATAAATCAATAACATTAGTGACTATCGACAATATACCTATTAATTTATCCTTTTCAGAGTCATTTTACATTTACAATAGATTATTTTACTGATCAGTGATTCTATATTAGATGCGTGCCTCCGCCGATTAACAGAGCACTCTTACTTTGAGTTGGAAAGTATTAGTACGTATCACAAGATATTAAGAGGTACATGACGATAATGACCTTTTTCCCTTTCCCGGGGCTCCATTCTTCCTAGTTTTTATTTTTGTATTCCCTTCCCGCGCAGTATCTTTTTTTAAATTATGTTTTGTTTTATTTAGGCAAAGTATTTTTTGTCCTTTTAAGTAAAACATATCAATTGTAGTTTGATGAACCGTTTAGGCGTGTTTAAGATAAAATATAGTATATTTATACAACTGTCAGCAACATGCTCATTTATTTCGCTAGAATAACAAGTTTGACGTATATTGTCGTAAATACACTATGTAAATATCTGGTTTGTAGTGTGACTACACTCATTCATAGCTTTTGAGTTTTTGTTTGTGATAGAAAAGGACAAGCTGAGCTATAGATCTGATGGAAAGTGGTCGTTGTGGCCTATAGAGGTAAAGGTATATAATCGGTAATAAGACATAACAGTCAGATAATATAGTTAAATAAAAATCCATGGAACTTGATTTAGTACCGCAGAAGTGTGTTCTAACTTACAAAAATGAATGTAGAGTCGTTATTTAGAAGTCTTAAACTCAACAGAATGGTAACACTTGAGAAATACCTCTATTAGATGAGGACTTATAGCCGTAAGCATATTTTATTTATTATATATATTAAGTATTTATTAGTCACGATTTTGCGTACAAAAACGAATGTCCGATAAACCACGCGACAGATAAGTTTGTATAAGTAGGTATTATATTTATATTGCATGCGACAAATACTGAGTATTTGTAATGTTTAGAGTAAATAAGTAATATAAAACATTAATTTAAATTAGTACTTGCAGACTGATAGGGTATCAATTGTACATTTTGGATTGATTAATAGCCAGACTAATATTCCTACCTACTCTACCTTTCCTACCTACACCAACACATTACTAAAAAGATATAATACTTAGATTTACATTTCCACTCTATTAGTCCAATTTTTAAGTTAACAGTATAATGTAGCTGGTAGCTACTTACAATGGTCGAGTAAAAAAAGTACATTTGAAACTTTCACTGTACCATAATACTTCAGTTATTTATACAAATATTACATACATATAAAAGGAAGGCTTGCTTGTGCGTTTGTAACGATTAAATTACTTAAATTGTAATGATAAACTCAACAGACTTTAAAATGATTTTGATCAAAAGAAATCTACATAATTAGCGAGTAAATCGAAAATTCTATCTTTCCGTGCAAAGCCGAGTCAAATCGTTAGTAAATTATAATCATGTTGACATTAGCAATTGATTAAAAGACTTTATTTAATTTTTTTTTTGGTTTACTGGATTACTCGTACTTGTAATTCTTACACGAGATATGAATTTGATTGGTTAAATTAGAAAACCCGGGAACTACAAAGGGTCAACCGGTCACTGATCCCGTGTTGCAAGATTTTTTTATTTTTCTTGCTCCACACCAACTGTAGGGCTGCCTTCTCTAAAAAAATCTAATAAGTAGTTATAATAATTTGTTATATAACTTCTTATTTATCTATATGTTATGAATAAATTAGTAAAAACATTAGAATTATTTCCATTTGTATTACCTATACATATAACAATTGTCGTGTTGTGCCACCGATATTATATTTTTAAACATTACGCTGTTGCTGTCTTTATTTTCAACTGGCTTTATAAGGAAGGAAGTTCTCAATTCGGTTAAATTTTTTTATGCTTGTTACTTTATAACTCTGTCAGTTGCAGGCAAACCTATTTGGAATTTTTTTTCTTTTTTTTCTGAAAGGACATACTTACAGATTGGTCGCATAGAAATTTCATATATATATAGTTTTACCATACTTGAATTTGGTATTTTTGTGGTACACAATCTTAAGTCATCATAATATATACTAAAATCCGACGTATATATGCGCTTTTTAGAAGACAGCCCTATAGTAATATTGTTATGTGTATGGAACCATTATTTCCGTCATGGGCCCATGCAATAACAGCGGATGCGCCAAATTGCTGCAGTTATTAAATACCTAAGTAATTTAAATGTTTAACGTGTTTTTTAGCCATAACTTTTTATTCTGTAGAGGAAGAATTACTATTAATTTACCTACTTCTGGTTAGTTAGATGTTCGTTAGATTAATGACAAGGCATGTTTTTTATTAAGATTGACAAAAATTAGAATCCTCATAGTAACCTCTAATTAATAGTAAGCAAACTAATATGTTAAATATTATGTCTGTGTGTTTGCTTGACGTATAGAATATACGGCTCGCCTGATGGTTTACGGTTTTCGTAGTCTATAGATACCTGCATTAGGTATAGGTACTTACTTATTATATTAGGCTATATTATATTAGGTTACTTACTTGACCGTTGTCAATCTGGACTTGTCATTCTCAACAGTAAGAAAACGCTAGAAAGCAGCATTATTGCTAGATTTTGACTAGATACATCTTCTCATTTGCAGTTACAGTTATCAAACAAGAAATCTTATAATCCTGTATTTTTCTCTATTTGTTCTAAGGCTTGATTTGAACGAAATTTGGCCAGTAATAAAAAAAAAGAATGGATATCTCAGGGTATGTGATGTCATTAGGTAAGTACGCAGTCGTGAGTAAACAGATACTCTTGATGATGACATTTAGAATAAATTTAATCTATTTGTCATCCTATTCTCATTTCAGATTCTTTACATGATCGTCAATTCCTGATTTTTGTATGATTATATAGTTAGGTAGATTAAGGTCTGTTTACTAACCATTTTCAGCTTTTTATCTAGATTTATTAATGGTAAACACAACTCTAGACGTTTACATTTAACTTAGCTACTCATGCATTGGACTACAAACCTTAATACGAGATATTGGTACCATTACTCATCGTTTCAGTGAACTCGGTCTTTGTTTATATTTAGTACGTAGCCATTACTTTCACCGCGCATTCACTCATTGTTTGACTAGTATTGATTGGTTAAGTTTTATGTTACAAAGAGATCGGGGTGAGTGAATCCCGATCTGTTTGAATCACATGAGCGGTCTTTGAACTTCTCACTTGAGTGCAAGATGGATGCGGGGATCGTGTTTAATAACAAACAAAGCATCTATACACAGCTGCTGTCAGTCGTCAGGTAAGCTTAGTATAATAGGGACCGATTCAGGTAAAATTTACTTTTGTAACTATAGATATGAACAATTTGTAATGTTTTTACTAAAGTAACGGCTACAACTTTTATTGTATGTAAGGCAGTTGATCTTTTAGTTTAGAAATAATAATAGCAGAAATAACGCATACCTACTCGTAAATTCTTGTGGATAACAGAAATCTGATTATTTTTTTATGTTAAGATAATATTATTGGCATTAAGATCAATTAACGTGCATATGAGCACAAATGGGTAACAAGGCGGACTGCTCACCTATATGCGCAAGGTCGATGATGGGGATCTCGCAGCGCGAGAGCAGCGTCTCCTCCTGTTGCGCAGCCATTGTTGTTGTCAACTGGTTGTGCTCCGACTCTGATACGCTCATTCGGCTACCACGATTTCTTATCACTGACTCCCACAGTAATTAGCAATTAGCGATCGCGACGCCGAAAGATAAGTATAGGATAGGGAAACGAGAGATAAGCACTTAACAACACTGTACGGTACAACCTAAACGTTAAAGTTTATTGAAGTTATGAATGGTCTTTTGATTACCCCTGGTATAAAAGCGTTCAGAACTCATTTGCATAACCTTGTAGTTCCTGCTCGAGGCGTTCAGCGATCTGACGTAGCAGCAATAAGCTATACTGACTTGACACATTAAAAATTGGTATCCGTTGCTCTCACAGTTAAGTATGTGGAAACGTTGCTCCCGCGTGTGCGACCCGACGGCGTCACGCGCCCCCCGTCCCTCACAGCTGTAGAGTTTCGAATGTCTCTCACGAATAAACTGGCTCACCGTGCGCGATGAGCGTTACCCTGGCGTCCGAAGTCGGCTCTCACTTGTATATCATCGCGCAGACTTTCGCAACCGAGTGGCGTGTCGAAATAGCGCTGTCTGCTATGAGCACGTTACGTGAAAGCGTAAGTACTATCGACGAATGCGCGAACCGTTCGGCGACCGAAGTAACACTAGCGCTCAGGCAGCTAACCGACTGTGCGAGACTGAACGCGCGGGGGCTCATTCGCTGCTCACTTCGCGCTTGTCTTCCCTTGTTGCGTGATGTGATGGTGCTGTATAACCTTCGCACGCCATTCACTTGAATAGACACACACACGGATATACGGTCACCTCGAACAACAGAGGCAGACATGACGATCCACTTGTGTGATTTACAATATTTCAACATTCAGAAACTTTACATAAGTGTATTTGTGGTAGCGCCACCTATACTTATCAAGCTATATTATATAGATACTATTTAGTATAAGCGCCCTCTATCTTTAGAATTATCTGCTTTTACTATAAAAAATAAATGATAGAATAAATTAATCAAAGTTCTTAAAGAATAAAGTGAGATTGTTTTATTTATATAGGGTTGGTAGCATTATTTTACAGTATTGTTTCATGGTTCACTTGAGGCACCGTTCGAAGTATGAGGCGCCGACGTATCCACCGCGCATAGCTCGCTGCACGTGCTGTTCAAATAGCCGTCGGTTGCTTTGGAGTTCGTCTGCCGCTTCTTTGTTTAGTGGATCTTCTGGATTTGGTTCCTGCAATTAATGATGTAGAATTTTTTTTTTTAGATTTTATATTGATCTGAAAAAAATTAATGGAGTTATGATATTTTCAATATGACGTCCTGAGCACTTTTACTCTAAATATAGATTAACAAATGCTTTGACTTGTCTTATATTGTATTGTGCTATTTTCTGATCCGTAAATGATTTACGATCAGTGTTCTCTAAAAAAGTAAGATCCATGACACGACAATTTGTGTAGCAGTGTAAATGAAGTAGGGTTAAGTGTGCTACTATTCTTAGGAACAATTGTCATTTTTAAGGCTTACAGATATGAAAATATTAAAATTAGAAGAAGTGAAAATTTTGGTTAGATAAAAGTGAAAGGAAAAGTGGAATGAAGTTTGAATCTTTACAGAATAGCTGCTGGTGATATGTGTAGATGGATATTAATATTTTAGGTTTATTACTTACCAAAAACAAATATTGTAGACCATACACTATAGAATTTACTGTGAGCACAGGTTTCCAGTCTTCCCTGAGTATGTTGAGGCAAACATTGCCTTCCAAGTCTATATTAGGATGGTATACTGCTGTTTCACATTTGACCTTGGGAGGCTCGTGAGGATAGTTTGGACCTACCTATAAAACAGAACAAAAGCAAATTAAAAAATAACCTGAACATTCATTGCAGGAGCATCCCTTCATATACCATCCAGGCTATAAGGTATAAGGGTGAACTCTTGGCGAGCTATACTATATTTTTTTAAAGGATAATAATGGAATGGCAGGGCACTAGTGACGTATAGTGATGAATTAACCTGGAATACAGTGTGACGGTTTCCAGAGGGGTCCCCTCTGGAAACCGTCACATTGTATTCCAGCATGGAGGTTGACCTGACAGGGTATATTGCTAGCAATGGGGCTGGTAGTCCACATTACTAGTAACTCCTTCTCTCCAGTACTATGCCTTTTTATCCTACCCTATTCCATTCTTCAAACATAGCCATGCAACACCATATATACTGCTTTGTGGCAAGAACGAGTGGGTGAGACTTACTCCTATCTACCAATTACCTAGGTAGGTGGACAGGTATCCACCCACCCATGCCAGCTACTCTTGATTAAAGTATCACTCTGGTGTGTTATAGTTATTATTAAAAAATTGAAAGCCAGATTTAATATAATAACATGTTTATTGTCTTTTACTAATGACCAGTGTTTTATTAAGATAGGGTTTTATTAAAATATAAAGTAGAAGTAAACCAGTCAAACTGAAGTATTTTTTAATTTACAGAGACTTTCCTTTAAAAGATTTTTCTTATTTATAGTTTACACTGTCAGGACTCATAAAATCGTTTTAGCTAGTAACAGAATAAAATTTCATAAATTTGCAGGTTGGATCCCCATATAACATAAACCTGAACCATCTGTCGATATTGGTCTGGGTATTTTATATACACTTTGAATGTATATGCTTATGTTTTCTATGGAACTATTGATTTCCAGAGAAACTATGTATATGAGAAAATTTATATTTTATTCTTGTGGATACTGAGTCAATATAAACATTACTTCACACTAATTTCTATTAAGTGTCAATGTAAAACAGCACATATAGGACTATGAAATTTCAAATAGCAATTTATTGACTATGGTGAAATTTATTTATGACAATTAGTTTAACACCTAGACAAAAATCTATGGAAGCACCAGTTTGGTTTTAGGGAGGGACACAATACCATCAAACAAGTCCATTGTTCAGTAGACATCATAAACAGAACTCTAGAAAACAAAAAATACTGCTCTGCTATATTTCTTTATAACAGTTAGGCAACATTCACATTGAGGAGAAAAACATGTCCACCTATCCTGTTACACAATAAACAAGTACTCTAAGCAGATTATGTTAGGTACTTAGACCACAGACTTGCCTGGTAAAAGTATATATGGACTGAACACAAACAAGTAGACACCAAAATTCATAGTTTGTACTGGCTGATAGGATGATAATCCCAAATGAAATATGATTGCAAAATAACCATATACAAAACCATCATTAAACCTTATTGGACATATGGTATACTTTTTGGCTTTGGGGCTCAGCTAATAACAGTAATGTAGAAATACTGGAAAGGTTCTAAAGTAAGAGAATAAGAAATATACTTAATATACTACAATATATAAGTAATAAATTTATGTATATGGACATCAAACTAAAAAGGGTAAAATAGGAAATTGAGACATTTAGCAAAAATATTCAATTCAGATTGAATAGACATAGGAATGAATAGGCTGCTCAAATACAAAGGTCGGGAAGCATTAGTTTCTGTTAATTATAAAAATCACAACATCTAAGGACTGATAGAAAGATTTAAAGAGACTGATTGAGAGCTGATTAATGGATTGATCTCATCTAATAAGAAAATTCAAACAGCATATTGGATTATTATTCTATAAGAAACAGATTGCCAATGAACACATTAGAAAAAAGAAAAAAAATATTAATTAGTTTGTTCTGTAAAACTGTTTGCTATCAGTTTGTACACCTAATGCAAAGTGGTCTTTGTAGTCTATAGACATGAACAGTGTAATCTGTGATGTCCATTTATAGTCCTAAGGTATGGAAATACATGAGGCATGCATTGGCATTCCTTAGGACTATAAAATTACGACTTTGTACCTAGTAATTTCACTACCATATTGAACCCTTCAAACTAAAACATATAAGAGTTTGATAGAGGTACCTAAGTAGACGACTTTTGTAGAAAGTCTGGTCTGTATAGTATAGGGAAACTGCAAGAGTACCTTCTCGGAGTCTCCCTATAGTATGTGTGGATTATTACTTACAGTTCTGAAGTATGTCATTTCAACTAAAATATTATGACAAACCTTAAAACTAAATATAAATCTGCCTCCTCTATAAAAACCTTCATCCGGGCATATGATTAGTTTGAAATTAAGTAGGTCATCTGGATCTGGGAATTCTGTGCTACATGTTTTGGGCAGGTTTAATTCATTCAAATCTGAAACAACAAATACTCTGTAATAAATTGTAACAGAAGATATGCGAATGATGATAAATATCTACATATGTAAGTATTCAACAAAAACACTTTACAATTATCGAAGATAGAACTTAGAAAGCATTTTGTTTATAAGTTCAACTACCTACTTTAAATGTTTTAATTGTAAAGGTATTATAATGACAGGTAAGTAATACGGGAATGAAATGACAAGTATGATTTTATTGCTGATACAGGTATAAAGTGCAATGTGATTTATTTTAAAACTATTATCAATCATATATGCATTACTTATTATGTGTACGATACAAACCTTTTGTAATTCGCAATTGCGCTGCTGATGCTTTCTTTTGTGAACCTCCTGCTCTTGCTGAACCTTCTTCATCTTTTTTTTGTTGCTTTAATGAAAACAGTTTGATCATTTTCCTAATCTAATCGATAAATAGAAATTAGAAATGAATCCACGATTTATTTTGACAGATCAATTTTGTACTTGACATTGTTTAAGGACCTAACATGATATGACATTTGTATGACATCTCTTTTTTTCTTTGTGAGATATCTCTTTTTATATCAATTTTATATTTATAATTTATATTTTTTATATAGATACCAATAGACAATATTTTAACATATTACTCGTAAGCTTAATAAATTACAATTGTAGTAAACAGTTGTAATGGCCGAAATTGCACGATATCTATATCAATTTACATTTTTGATATGTTTTTGGCACCTTAATTAAATATAAAAAAGCTTTTAAATAATTCACTAATTGAAAAGCTATCATCTTGCTTAATACTATTTTTTGAACAGTTGCCTTTTTTGTAGTGTTTACTTGTTTATAGTTTTCGCGCAATGTCTCTATCTATGATATGATATAATTTGATCTGTGGATATCTGGATGACAGTTGAAGTGACATTTGTTTTGCTGAAAATAATTTCTTTGATCTATGGCTATTTCTGTTCTTTGCATTTGTCTTTACGCGTCCATTCCATTTTCATAGAAATTATATTTCATTTGAAGTAGAAGCAGAAAGTTTTGTAATTATACTTATTTTATAAAACAGTTCTATTAGTTGAATTAGTGCTAATAATGACTTTATAGTTCAAAGTGATCGTAGTATTTGAATTAAGTGGAAGGAGAAGATCGAAGAGATCGGACAAAATGGCTAGTGAGGATGTAATAGAATTAGGGTCTTCTGACGACGAAGCTGAACCGGCTCCAAAGAAAGTGAGTTTATCAACGGATATTAAGGGGAGGGTAATTATTGTTTATATGATTTTCATTGTTAATTTTTCTGTTTTAGATAAAACCTAGGCCAAACGCAATGGTACACATACCTACAAAACTACACGGAGTAACCATAAAACCGGCGACGTCTGCACCGTTTGCTATTAAAAAGAACCCTAAAGAACTTGTAACAATGACTAAAATTCAAAAAAGTAATACAGTATGTAACCCATTTTCGAAGGCAGTGAAAATAAATGGTATACCACAACAAAAGATTCCAATTAAACAAAATATCAAAATGTTACAAAGACCTGTACATTTACCACCTAAAGCAGCTGTCAATCCTGTAAACATATTTAAGAAATTAAATACTCAAGTTGTTGTAAATAAAATTCCTACTTCTGGAGCTATGTTAAAAAATCCTATTAGGATACATAGTCCTCAGTCAATAAATAGTTTGCCACCTGGTATCACAGTAAAAAGAACATCAGGCCCTGTTAAGCGTCCAGGATTTTCTCAGACAATGAGTGTTGCTAGAAAGAAGATTAAACTAAATCATAATATAAAAAACCCTAAAGAAGTATTAACTGTAGAACTTGATGATGATGATTCATCTGCAGCTTCTGCTGCTAGTCCTCAGTGGTACTTGAGGCCTGAGGATTCAATTGCACCATCTGTAGAAAAAGAGAATAACAAAGAACCAGAGCCTAAGAATTTAATAGAAATAACTATTGAGGATAGTCCTGTAAAACCTACTTCCATAAAACAAACATCGGTAGTCGGGGCTCAGTTTGAAGTCACTATTGAAGATAGTCCTGTTAAGATTACAGAGGAATCAAAACATCTTGCTGACAATGGTAGCGAAGAAGAAATGTCTACTCCAAACAAGGTACCCCATAGTAAGAAGAAATTGGAATATCCAAAAGAATCTAATGAAAATAAAGTAATAGAAATAGAAATTGAACCTGTAACAGTAATGGCTGAGGAAACCAATCTCACAGCTAAGAATAAAAATAATGTTGCACTTTATGATGTTGTGGAAATAGAGGAATCTCCTATTAAAGAAATACAACAACAGACAAGCACACCAAAAAAAGATCATGTGAAACTGCAAGTGCAGTTTTCTGCATCAAGATCAAGTTTGTTGCAAGATCAAACTGCAAAGGAAAGTGATGGTTTTCATCCTGTGTACCAAAGATTTATTGATTTGTGTTTTGAATTAGAAAACTCTGAAGACATGAAAAAGATTATAGACAAAAAAGTAAAAACATATTATAAACAAGTTCCAAAGGAATACACTGAGTCAGAGGAGTTTATTGATATGGTATCAAGTAAAATACTCGCTATGAAGGCTGGACCTGAGAAAATGTATTTGTATATAAAAGATATAGTTGATGAACTCAATATGCAAAGGAAAATGGCAAAGTCACAGGTGTCCAACAATGAAAACAAAGCACCAGGTAAGATAAATTGATTTTATTCTTACTTTCAAAACCTTATACATTTTAATTTTTCATAATTAGTATCAATATGAGTATAATGTGTAATTAATTTATTTTTAATATTTAAATAAAATTAAAAATTTTTTTTTGTTGCCATTTTGATAATAGTAATGTTTCGTTAATCTTTTCAATGATAAGTAATGTTTGAATATTATTTAATAATTTGCAATTAAGTAAATAAATAAGCGTGGACAGTATTAATTACACAAAAACATTTAGTATTACATTAAGTAAAGCTTGTCTATATTTTATAACTGATAAATATACACATATAAGTTTTTATATATGTATAATACTATATCCCAAAATATTGGCTGTGCAAATCTTATATATTGTATTTTTATAAATATTACTTGGATCCAAAGATTTCTGCTGTGCTTGTTTTTTTTTTTATAATATGTAGTATTTAGGTTTGTGCTATAAAATGTGGATTAATTCTATGTGCTCTTCCCTAAACTGTGAGTTTAGCCTATGTAAATGTTTTAGCTTTTTTGAATTAATTTGGATATAGGTGTGGATAATCTCTAAAACTACTGTATGATTCTAAATTTTCATTAGTACAGAAAGCTATTTGTAAAATATACCATGTATAATGTAGTTACACCACAGAGTTAAAAATATAAACTGACTTGGATTTTGTTGGCATTGACAGATTTGAATTTGACTTAAAATTTGTATATACAATAATGTATAATATCATTTAATTGTTAAACATTTAGTTTTTTAATTTTTTAGACTACAATTTGATCCATTTTGTTAGTAACAATTTATTTACAAACTATGTTAGTAAAAAAAGAAAACTAATTAAAGTGAATTAACTAAAGCAATTCACTCAGATGTGACCCAGTCGACCAGATCAGCATCCGAATGAAATGCCTAATTATAGGCGAGTTGTAAATTATATATTTTTATATAGAGAAAAAAGTAATATTTAATATATATTTATATATTATTATGTTTTTATATCAATATGTATATATTTTTTATTATTTATATATATTTTAATTAAGGGTTATTAAAGTAAAATATATTTATTATATCCAAAAGACAGGGTCAATAGAGAAAATTGTTTGTCAGTGGCCTCTAACATAAAATTAGCTTAAATATTTTAGAAATAAAACTTTATTTCTTATAGAGACTGCATCAGATAATTTCCTATATGGTGAAAATAGTGAATTTGATTCGAAACGGCAAAGACAAATTCGTAAATTGGAGAAGACACTCAAGAAATTACATAGAGCCATACAGAAACTAGAGGAGCAAGAAGTTGACTTTGATGATGACGAGGATTCTGTATATTTACTAACTGAAAGGTATTAATTGCATTATTAATTTTTAATTTGATTCTCCTATGATCAAATGGGGCAACTGGCAGAGAACAGAAGTTGTCCTCTCAGAGGATAATCATATATCTATCTTACTAGTATTCCTTGGTCATCCATTCTTAATTCATGCTCCCTCCTCAATAATTGTGTTGCACCTCAATTAACACAGTACACCTATCATAAAAGGCACCCTGTTATGTCATTTAGTAAACTAATCGGCGAGAAATCTTTACATATTAGTAAGTATAAATGTTAGTTTGTTAGATACCTTATAGTTATCAACTAATCATTATGAAATTTAAAATATATACATATATATAGGATACTTTTATCCAAGTTAGCAAATATATTTGATTCATGCAGACGAAATTGTGGGTAAAAGCTAGTTGTATAAAATATTACATTCTTCTTTTACCAATGTCTGTAAAATTGTTATTCATTTCTAGCTAGTGAAGAAAAGATGCTAGGTGAATAACATGTTATTTGGTTTCATTATATCTTACTAATACATATAATAAAATTGTGATTAAATAATGTCAAAAAAAATTTTTTTTTCTTAAATATCTTATAATAAGGTCAATAGAAGACAAAAAATCAATTTTTGGAATTTTATCTGTATGTTTGTTCTGGCATAACACAAATACTACTGCATCAAATTAAAATAAATGTACAATTAGAATATTTTCTGTAAAACTATATGTTAGTTTGGAGATATTGGTGGTTAACCATTAACATTTCATTTCTAAATACTTATAATATTTCATGAAATGATATATTATTCATTTACGTTAATATTAATAATGATGAAGTAGGTCTGTATGTTATGTGTATATACCTGAATTTCTGTACTGATTTGAAGAAATAAACAGAGATAACCCAGTCCATATACCATGTTTTATGTTGATGGTTGAGTTATATTTTTTTTAATTTATGTTAATAAACTAGCGGCCATTATTTAATCATTATAATAGTGAGCGTTCAGGAGCAGTTAATTTTGTGGTAGCACAGATTCATGTAGAGCTGAAAAATCCGTCTACGATTCATAATAATTAAATTAATTCTTTTCTAAACTTTATATGGGAACTTTTATATAATTTTTCTTATGGACTCTTTCAAAAACTAGATTAGGTTAGGAATCGAATAAAAAGTCACATGTTGAGGTTGTGTTTCATGTTCGTTATTTTTTTTATTACAGATATAAAGAGCGAATGGTCAGGGTTCATGCAAAATTTTGTCAGTTGACAAACACTAAGATGCCATCAGAACCGCGAGTACAGATAGATGCACGACCCGGTCAACCCCCAGGCCCTGCTAAGCGTTTAGAGAAATGGATTAATAAGAAAGTACCAATAGGCATGCCATTGCCTTTTCCAGATTTCCATGATGTTTTACGTTGTGTTAGAGAGGCCAATGAGAGTGACAAGCTTGGATGGAATGAAGCTGATATTATGGAAGAAGGTGAGAACTAAGCTTTTGAGGCAGGACTAGTGAATTAAAACAAGGGAATGAAAATGCGTATTACCTTTGATTTAATTATTTTAATTTGATTGAATATATTCACGAATGTAATCATAGTTGAGATAATTAGAGATATTATTTTAATTTTTACCATTATGATCAATTTTAATACCACAAATTAAATTCGCATAATAAGATAACTGAATTATCATTTAGTCATTTTTAAATATTTTCTTTAAAACCAGCATTATTCATAATCATTATAATATTTTAGCTCGTGATTTATTTACAAGATGTGGTAAAAAGCTGCAAAGGCGTAGACAAGAAAATGAGTGGAGATTAGCTGCTTCAAGAATTTCGTCAGATATGGATCCAGCTGAAAATAATGATGAATTGAAGCTTAAGTTAGAAAATAATCGTCAATTAGCTACTAAGAAAGAAGCTGAAGTTTTCAATAAGTAAGTTTCATGAAACATTATACAAAGTCTACAAGTATTGGTTCCAAGTTATGAAGGTATTGTAAAGTTATTTGTAAAACTTATTTCATTTCATTGCTCTGTGTATTGTGATGATATTTTAATTGTAATTACAATTTTTATATTATTATATTATACAAACTATTTTTATATTATTAAATTATACATTAATTTATAAGATACCAAATCAAATAATTTTATTATTAATTTTTTGGTCATCAGGTGTGCAGTGTGAAATACTGTCGTACCAATAAGATTACTTATTGTCATTAATCTTATTTCAGTCTTAAATTTTTCCTTACATTTACTTAAAATAGCAAAAAATTAATTAACCAGACGCACTACATCGCCATGACAAGTTGAGCGTCGCTCGGAATGCGTTATTATATTGCACACTAAGTGTGTTATAAACTCTGTATAATTAATACCATAATTGGCTGGTGTAGAAAGCACGACAATAGGATTTAAACAATGTCAATTTGACTAGCTTCGAACCGTGGGTAAATCGTCTAGCCAGTATATTGCTTCTACATACAATTACGCCTTTGTCTCTCCAGATCAGTATCATCTCTCACATCTTCTGTTAACATATGTCTGAGATATTTAAATTTACTATTTTTAAAGTCTTCCTACATAAATTTCGGCAAGATTTTAGGTCCTTTGCGATGTTTAAAAATAATAATTTTCGTATTATTGTCATTACATGTGTGTCATTATTATATTTTCGCATATTGTTCACATATTTCTATTAGTTTTCTAAGACCATTGGCTGACGGACTCAGGAAGACCATGTCGTCCGCGTAATTGATATTATTTAGATTTTCACTACCGATATGACAGCCAACTCTGGTCCTCTTGAGTCGGCCAATCAAATCATTAACATATAAATTACACAGAACAGGTGAGGTCACCTTACCTTGTCTTACTCCACATGTAAGTTTGTGGCGCTCCGACAAAATGTTACCGCATCTAACTTGATTTAACTGGTTTTCGTACCAGAATTCCAGAATATTTGTAATATTATATAGAACCCTTGTCTCACGCAATTTATTCCAAAGCAAATTATAACTAACTGTATCAAAAGCGCGGCTGAAGTCCAAAAAACAGGCATTAACAGAAGTTTTTCTGGATATGGATTGTTTTACAGTATTTTTTAATGAAAAAATAGTAAATCCGTAGGTAATCCCTTATGAAAGTCAAATTGTGCATTATTCAGTGGTAGGAATTTTTCGGAAAGGTATTTGTTAGTTACGCATTCAAATAGTTTAAAAATAATTGTAGCTAATGAGACAGGACGATAATTTATAATACTAGAGACATCCCCAGTTTTGTTCTTTACTATAGATATCACAATAGTCCTCATAAAATCTCTTGGCATATAGTCATGATCCATACACGCATTGAAAAATAGGGCAATTTTCTCAAAGGATTATGGGCTAGCATACAATAAGTGTGATTTGCCACACAAAGATATGAAATCTTTTACGCATTTTAGAATATCCTTCGCGGTAAAGTGGAGGGCGCTCGTGTTGTTTGACTGCCATGTATAGGAAAAGCTCGGGCCACTACTCATTATTATCCCTGCTATTTTAATGCTATTGATGATCGGATTGTAGTAAACATCGATCACTTTACAATGTCTCTTGTTTTTACAAGAGGAACCACTGCATGAAATAGCTGACCATTCATAGGAGTTAATATATTAATCACATTTTTTATTTGATCAGGACTATGATTTACCCAGATAACTTTATTAATTATATGTATATGTTTAATGATACTATAATTATAATTAATTTGAATATTTTAATAATAAAAAAAAATTATATTCAAATCATATAATTTTCAGGTATGCTGACAAGCAAAATCAGTTGAAATTAGAACCAGAAGAGATTGGTGACAAAGAAGCAGAAGAATCGCCAATCGAAACCGAAGATGACGAAGCTGAGGCAGCTGATGAAGCTTTGTTAGAAAATAAAAATAGAAGAAAAGAGAGATTGAAAAGATTGCTACAGGAAAAATCCAAAAAGACTGGTGAAGAGAATCAAGAAAATAACACAAAACTTCCTAAAAATTCAATGGATGATAAAGAAAATTCACCAATTGAATCCCTTGGACAAGCTGAAGTTGAAAAAACAATGGAAATGGTGAGTAAAAATCAAAATAGTGTAAAAGACTCTATAATAGACGAAGAATTAAAAGATAATACTAACAAAACAAGTACTTCTTCTACTGTGCCAGATGATAATGAATCTAAAGTATCGGATAATCAAAAGTCATATAGTGACTATGAAGATGTCTTGGAATCTGACATAGATGAGCTACATCTCTTACAAAAATTGCACTCTGAAAATGAGATTTATTCTTCAAGTTCTGAATCTAGTGGTTCTGAATCTCCAATTGCTATCTCTGATACATTGGATGATAGTGATGATGAGAGAAAAGACAATAGTGATGTAATTAGTATTGAAGATTCAAGTTATTCCGATTCAGAAACTGATAGAAGTGCCCAGAGCAATATAGTAAATTCTGAAATAAGTAAAACTACAGAAAAAATTGTATCTGAAAATGTAATTTCTAATGATATAGAAATGGAGTCAATTGCTGGCATAGAGAAGAATGAAATTTCTACTAACAATAATGAATGTACTGAGTCTATAGAAGATGTTTTACTTGCATCTACAGATGATGAAGCTGATGCGAATGTAGAAGTAAATTCGGAAAAGAGTCATTGTGTTAATATGGCGGATGATCATATGTCAATCGGAGAGACAGTTATTGACGGTATAAATAAGGATAATGAAACCATTAATGGCCAGAATCATCAGACTAATATTGTCGAGAACAATGATGAATCTAAGCAAGATACAGATGAAATAAATAGTCCCAAAAAAACTGAGACAATTAATATTTCTGAAATTTCTCACGAAGAAAATAAATGTTTTATAAATCAAGAAACCATGCAGCAATTAGCCCAATCAGAAAATCGGACATTAACCAAAGACTTGAATAGCTCTTATGAAACAGTTAAAGAAATAACTCTTGAAGAGAAAGAAATCATACCAGTAAATCAAGAAAGCGTAACAGTAAAATGTAAAGAAGGTGATAAGTTAGAAAAAACAAATGAGTTAAAATCTCCCGACACATGTGACTTTAGTAATGCCAATCATATGAATAGTCATAAACAGGATATTACCAAGAAATGTTCTGAAACAAAAATGTCTAACATTATTAGTGGAGAAAATAAATCTGTTGATATGAACGTCTTAAAAGAAAATTGCAAAGAAAATCTGACTGAAAATGAAAGTGAAAAATCTAAAATTAGTAATGAGATAGTTGAAATTTTGCCTAGTAATCTAGAAGAACAACAGGAAAATTTGTCTGATTTAAATAATGTAGATGCCAGAATACCTGTTGAAGTTGACAACCATAGTGAAATGTTATAGGAGATCTAGAAGGGGTTTTTGTTATATGCGGTATTTGTATCTAAATGGGCAGTTACAATAGTACTTGATATCAACAATACAGTTAATAGATTTATCATACACATTTAAGGATGTCAATTTGTGCTGCTTAAATTTCCTTGACTTCTTTATTTAATAATTCGTTATTAATTGTGAACAAGAAAGACCGGATATTTTTATTTAAAAGACTGCTAATGATAATGGCTTTAGAGTGGTGATGTTTAAAATTATCTTAGTAGCATAAAACAAATAATATTTATTTTAATTTATTATGACAAAGTTGCAGGAGAATTAATACACATTAAGCTTTGAAAAGTTTTAAGTTCCGAATTTTGCTACATGTTAGAATCTGGAAATGTGCTGATATTCGCAATATAATGAAAGAGGCCTATAAGCTAAAAGATTTAGTAAAATGAAACCGCTATAGGCTGGACACAATTTGTAGAAGAATTGTTGTAAAAGAATGATTCTCAAGTGGCGATCTCACGCGTAGACACAGCCCTGCACTAAATGAAGTAATTACTTCAAATACGTTTATTATAACTAGATGGATGCACAAAGTCGATGGTGGCTTAACACACAATTATTGTCGCAGGCAAAGGGGCTGTATCTAAAGTACCATTTCCATAAACAAATTCTCTAAACTTTATATTTTAATTAATAATTTTGCGAGGTTACTGTTTTATGAGCCATCATAAACTAAAATTACACTAGATTTAACCTTAATCATTAGAAATGGTCCTTATCATAAAGATTTCGCTGTGATATCAAATTGAAATTTTAATTTTAGAGTTTTGGAGAAATGGCGGTTTAGGATCACTTCGTTTATGATATATGCTTTTATACAGCAGTGGATGTGTACTTGGATGATAATAAGGACAATAAATAGCTCTGAACAAAAATATTTTACTGAAGTGAAAATGAAACCAAATACGACCTTCTCAGGGATATTTACGAACTTATATATTTGGATACACATAATTATTTTTAATATATAGGTGCATAAATTATTACATAAGAAATACAAATAACAAAGCATGGTTACAGATTTATTATGCTAAGTTAATTTCCCGATTTCATGTAGTAAAATAAATTTTTAAATGTTTTACAAAATTACTCACAAGTATTTATTAATTTTATTTATCAAAGTTAAATGCTTTTAGCAATAAAAAAGTACTTCTTTTATTACTTATTCGGTATACGACACAAAAAACGCGAATTGGCGGTCTTAATGTATCGTGTTTAGTACTGCTTTTGTTCCATTATAATTATATTATTTATTTGTATTGAATAATGTATGAAGTCATTGATGTTATAACTTATATTATTTTCGAAAATATAAAGTTAGTAAAAGGCAAAGTCATCGTAGCATAAGCGTATATGTATATAGCCTGTTAAAATAAAATAAATTCTTTAAGAATTTGGTATGATGAAGTGTTTCGAAGCCAAAGGTAAGGCTGAGATGATATGGGACTATTGAATATACTATAAAACTATATAGAATATCTTGTATAAAAATTAGCTTTAACTGCATTCAAAATACAATGATTGTGTAACAAAATAACAATTAGATTAAACGTATATCATTTAAGTTTTAAGTTCTATTAATTATATTTTTAAATTGTCTTTCGGGTATAATTGTGTACGATTACATAAGATAAATTTATCATAATTTTTATAAAACTACGAATAATAAATACGATCAAAAATTTTGGCTTTTAATTATTATTTATATGAATTGAGTAGTTATGTGATATTTACAGTGTGTGAGAGAGAGAGAAAGAGAGAGAGAGAGAGAGATAAAGAAAGAGAGAGAGAGAGAAAGAAAGAGAGAGAGAGAGAGAGAGAGAGAGAGAGAGAGAGAGAGAGAGAGACAGAGAGAGAGAGAAAGAGAGAGAGAGAGAGAGAAAGAGAGAGTACAACAAAATTTTATAAAATTAACAAAAAAAATTAATAAATCACTGAAAGGATAGTGGTTTTTCAGTGACTTGAAAACAGAGGACATCATTTTGTAACAAGACGCTTTCTCCCACGCACAACCACTCTTTGGAATCCACTTCCAGCAGCAGTATTTCCGAACCGATACAACAACATAACCTTTAAGAAAAGAGCATATTCCTTTTTAAAAGGCCGGCAGCACACCTGCAATGCCGTTGGTGTTGTGGGTAAGTGACTACCGCCGCCCATGGTGGGCGGCGGTAGTCACTTACCATCAGGTGAGCCGCATGCTCGTTTGCTCCCTGTGTTGTAAAAAAATAACAAATGTGATGATATGATGAAGACTTTCACAATAGATATGCTGTATACACCTATGCGTTTATATCATAATGCATTAGGCATTTGCGTGAGCATGTGTTCCTGTTTGAAGGGTGGTAAGTATATGGATGATTGGGCAAAGTATTTTCAGTCTCATGATGTAATGGAGGGAACAGTAACAATATTCAAGAATCATCGAGTTGGAAAGAACTATCAGAAGAACGTGAACAATTCTAATGTATTGAAATATTAGGTATCTTTTATTTTTATATGGTGTGCTTTAAATTACGCATGTACTTTTTAATAGGTTCTTTCGCATCTCCTAATTATTATCTTCTATATATTGGTATTGTTTTATATATTATATTATGCAGTATTTTATTTTAGTTATGCATGTAGGTTGGTTCCATTATACATTTTATTGAAATCGAAAGTAAATGCAAGTTCAGTGGCCGTAACAACATTTATTTACAATATTTACAAAGGGTCAAGTCTTCGTAGGTACACAATGATAAATATATTTCATGTACATATTTACATTATTTTATAGGGTCGTTGATTTCAGGAAAAACATACGGGTCCCACTGTAAAAGTAAATTGATGGTCCGCGTCTGCAAACCCGAGGGTTTGGAAGTCACTTATAGGGAGCCGCTCAACACGCGATGTTCGTACTTCTAGTACTATTTCTCCAGATCCCGACTGTAAATAATAAAAAAAAAATCAACTTTAATACCGGATTGTCTAAATAGAATATATTGGACTATAATAGAGCATTTAGTGTTTTTTGTACGTTATTGGTAAACGCTAGCATGGCACTAGTGAAGATGAAAGTAAAGCAGATCATTTGGCTCACAGTGTCGAATTCAACAAGAATTAATCACGAAGGTTTCCATGTGGAAGCCGATCTGAGAGATTATATTGCTAGCAATGAGGTTGCCCCTCCTTACTAATAATCCCTTTTCACAGTATTTAGCATTATCACAGTGTAAAGAAACTTCGTCGTCCAGAACTTCTAGAAAGAACAATGAGTCCCGATTTGTAATCGTTTGGGATATGCCAAGGCGCAGGTCCACTAAATGTACCTTATCCTGGCATTAATGTCTTGTTAAATGAATACGAGTAGATATCTAAATTTAGTCAAAGTTAATCGTGTTTTACCTTGCAATCATCTATTAGAATTTGTGGTTCTTTGAATTCGGCAGAATTGTAACCGAAAAGTTTGACATTGTTTATTCTCGTTAACTTCGGTGGTATATCCGATCTGAAAGAAATTGAGTTCCAAATTAGTGTTTATTATGTTTATATTTGTCACTGTAGGTACTTGATATTTATCATTAACAGTAGTAGTAGTTTTTTTGTAGGTACCTTTGAATACTTCTAGTATCGATGCATGTGTATGTGAAATTCTGTCTAACTGAATTTGATAATAGTCTTAAAAATCGTAGTTGCACCGAGCCAGAACCGTCGCCGTCATACGTTATCTGTAAAATAATATTATAAATTTCTTTAAATATGGGTAATATTTTTAAATCAAGGTTATCCAATTTTAGATTGCCCCTATTTCTAGGTGACGCAGATGAAAAAAAATACTGGTTATTTGATTAGAATTATTTTGTTTAAATCTGCTACCATTTACAATTATACATTAGTTCAGTAAAATATTTTGAAAAAAAAAAATTAAATATAAAATTTAATAAAGTATGCGATATTACCTGACTATTACGAATCGATTTCGATTATTTTTTTGCGATTGGACTTATTCTCGTGATGATCTCGTATTACTTTGCGGTACAAAATCTAGGTACTTAGGTACTGGGGTGTTTAAGAGTATTTCTAGTTAGTTCTTATGTCCATGGATTTTTAATTTTTCGCTTTTTGTTATATACAAATCGTCATTACAATTTGTACAATTTACATAAATAAAAGTAATTAGCATTTATATGGTTCTTAAAATAACAAATATTAGTCTGTTTTTATTGCCTAAGATTCTTGGTATTCATTTGTCCAACAACTCTTATTGTTCCGTAAAGACATAATGACTTTAATTGAAAAAAAAAAAAAAAAAACAAGTTGAGCTCAATACGAGAAGTAAATCTCTTCGTTGATTTACAAGCGGCAATGATACATATAAAAAAAATACATAAAATCTACAGACGAATTGAGAACGTTTTGCTTATGAAGTTAAATAGGTTATATACATTACTATTTATATATTTTGCTCACCGGATTTCCATTATGAATAGGCTTCAGAGATGAGTATATGTACATCATTATATATTTTGCTTACCCGATATCCGTTATCTAGTTTAGAAAACTTAATAGTGTTGCCATCTGTGGAGTAAGCCGCTTGTTCTACAATGTCAGGGTACACACAAGTGTTATGTCCCTTGCAGTAGACCCGCAGGGGACGCCCGCCGCCGCGTGCGTCGATCCAGTAATATCCTGAAGATAAATTAATGCACCTGAACATCATAGGCGTATTTAAGAGGGTGCCGCGTAGTCTGTGCCACTATCACCACCAAGTGGTACCTTGTCAATGTATTGACAGTTCGGGTGGGGTTATCATTCCATTTTTATGACACTAAAAAGCCTCAAGAGGACCACGCTGGCTTGACAATTTATTAAAGAGTTTTAATCCTAGTTTTTCTTTTTGGCGTCGTGGTATATTTCTTAGTCGCCTTCTACTACATTCTAAGGATGAGAAGTAGGGGTGACACTTGCTTCGTCATTCCAAAATTAATGACGTGATCATTATTAATATATAAGCCATTTTTTGTCCACTGCTGAATATTGGGGATTTTGCCAGTAATTATCATGCTTGATAGGCAGTTTGGTAACCACAGTTCGGCTTTTGGTAATGTTTTAAGAGGGATGCTGCTGCCCATACCTCGGCCATTCGTTAATGACGTCATGTTGAAATATTATTATAAAGTTTATAATTACCATCAGTTAAATTGGCATGTGCATTGCGCAGATCACGACAGGAAAGTGCGGGGTGTGCTCGCGAGCCGCGCGGTCTTGCAACCGCATCCAGCTGTGCGCGGGCCGCTATCACTCCGTTCATTATCTCTTGTACCCACTCTATTTCATCATCTGAAGAAATTACAACTTATTATTAATAATTTTCTTTATATATTAAAATCCTGTCACGATGTTTACTCCGAAATCGTTTAATAGATTTTAATGAAATTTTGTGAATGGATATTGTTTACTCAACTTGAGAGATAGGTTATTTTTTTATCTCGATAAGTGACATATGGAGTCAAACGGATGCCGGGTCAGCTAGTAATACTAAAATAACAGCATTACGTAAAATCAGATGATAAAAATTTAACTGTAAACATTAAAAATGTTCATTTTGATTTAATTAGTATAATTATAACATAATTAGAAGATATTAAGGTACCAACACAGGGGTAAATTCTTTTGATTGACAAATATTTATAAAAATCTTACATATCGAGCAACATAAAAAAAAAATAAGCTTTCTCCTTTTAAATAAAATAAATAGAGCAAGAATTTTTACCTTCGTAATTGTCCTCTGTCGTGGAATCAAAAGAGTCCATGCTGACACTACGCCGACGTCTAGAACTGAATAGTTCAGCTGGTAATTGTGGTGGAGGTGCTGGCAGACCTGGCGGACCAGGTGCACCTGGTAGACCTGGAAGTCCAGGTCTTCCCTCAGGGCCTGTATTTCCTTTTGGTCCGATAGGGCCTTCGGGTCCTGATAGTCCTACGGGGCCAGTATCTCCTTTTGGCCCTGGTGGTCCAATGGGACCCTGCAATGAGATGGTTAAGAGCGTTCATAGTTGTTTGGAGCATACCAAAGTGTGAGCAACGTTGGGATTATGTGTAAGTAATCCAAATAGGATCATTAATATTTTACTTCATTATTAGTTCACTTTTGATATAAGCAGTAATATTAAAAACTGAGAATTTAGACATAACTTTAATGTTGCCATATGTCGATTAAGTTTCGATGTAAACGTTTTTAAAATTAAAAAGAGATAATTCTACAATATTCTATAATAAATCTATTTATTATAGATATTTCTTACCATATCTCCTTTAGGCCCAATTGGCCCAACTGGTCCTGGAGGCCCTTGTTTACCTATTTCACCTTGATCACCTTTTAAACCCATCGGACCAGTATCTCCAATGTGTCCTTTTGGGCCTTTATTGCCTTTTTCACCCCTTGGCCCTGGTGCCCCTACGGGTCCTATTTTTCCAGTTGGACCTGGAGGCCCCACAGCACCTGGAGCTCCTACATCACCCTAAGGAGATAAAATTTGCATATTATTTTTAGTATTATGTGCATGAGATTCCTCTTAATAAATTAAAATTATGAGCAGGATAGTAATGTAATACACAACTCTTTGCAAGTTTACTTTTTACAGCATGACAAAAATGTTAAACCTTTAAAATGAGAATAATATACGTTAAAAAATGGTGAATAACTAAATTTTTTTGTGAAGAGGAGTTCATATAAGGTTATCGAGTTAAAAGAATAAAATACATTTGGTCCAGGTAGCCCTCGTACGCCACGTTGTCCTTCTTCCCCAGGAGGTCCGATAGGTCCCACAGGACCAGTTTCGCCAATTGCACCTTTTGGTCCCATATCACCTTTTTCACCAGGAGCACCTGGACTACCTTGGGCACCAGCTGGTCCTTCGGAACCCTAAAATATGTAAGTATTCTTTACGTAAGAAAGACGGATTTGCAACATACAGATAATAGATAGATAGATACTCTTTATTGTTTCTTCCAAAAAATTACAATAGTAAACTTATTCTAGATATAAACAATTATAAGAAATAATCACAATGAGAAAACAATGGGCGACCTTATCGTTAAAAGCGATCTCTTCCAGGCAACCTTTGAATAGAGAGGAGTAATTATAAACAGTTTGATTCAATGACTGCAATGATTCAATGATTCAATGATTTGATTCAATGATGGCAAGACTCATTATGGGTGCTTTAACTGGACATATGCCAATAAGGTATATATTACACAAGATGGGGCTATCTTCAGACACACAGTGCAGACTGTGCGGGGAGAAATCGGAATCCATGGAACACTTGATGTGCAACTGTGATTCGTTAGCAAGCATGCGCATGAGTCTATTGGGAACTGCTTATACAGAGCCATGGGACTATAGATATCTTAAACCGTGGGATATCGTTAAGTTAACACATAGGATCTATGAAATGATGGTATAAGGCAGGGGGAAGCACAAAAGATCCCGATGGGTCGACGTGCAACGGCTTAGCTGATCCCATATGCGAATGTAAGTTTAATTGGAGACACGATGAAGACCCTATTACTTTTAAATAGGCAGATGTAATACATGTAATAATGTAAATATATACCCCTACTGACTATTATATATATACACACATATATACTTACATACATACATACATATACATACACATATGCATAAAAAATAAACATAAACACCTACACAAAGTTATAATATTTTATATATCTGAAGGAAAAAGTAACCTGACAAATAAATTAAGCAGACATTATATGTTTCGAACGGATATTTATGAACAGAATTATGGACGGAGTAAATATAAGGTGCGGTCATGTGTTTTACATTATCAACGGATATGATAGCAAATTTATAATAATTATATAATAAATAAAGTTGCTATCAAATAACCTTGTAAGATTTTTTTAAACTTACAGGATTTCCTGGCACTCCAGTTTCACCTGGTTTTCCAGGTGGTCCTGTAGGTCCGGGCGGCCCAGGAGGTCCAGTGCTGCCTTCAGGACCATCTGCTCCTGGTTCACCCTTAGTGCCTTGAGGCCCGGGTTCACCCCTCTCTCCAGGTAATCCCATTGGTCCCATATCTCCTTTAGGTCCCTCAGGGCCTGGAAGTCCTTTTGATCCTGGCTCTCCTTGTAGACCTGGTGGACCATCTTCACCTTTAGGTCCAACGGGTCCTCTATGTCCCTAAACAGAGTAAAATTTAATGAGAAATTAGTTAATGAATAATACATATGCAATTATACCTACTAATGCAATTTATTTACGAGTACATACATACAAAAGTAACTGTAACACTCGGCTTTAGCCAGAACGAATCTTAATTTAGAATATGGTCTATCTAAGTGCCAAACGTTTAGCCATTTAGGGATGGTTGAGCACCAAACATTCAAACATCTTATATACTTCTGGATTTATATTATTTTATATATGGAAAATGTGTGTTATATACGAGCAAATAATATTATTCCAAAGTAATGCAGTTAATATAATAATTACCAATTTTCCTTCAGGTCCTTGCGGTCCTGGTTGTCCAGGTGCACCAGGATTTCCTACATCTCCATGTTGACCTTCTGCTCCTCGAGGACCTGGTTCACCTTGTATACCTTTTGGTCCACGTCGCCCAGGTGGTCCATTAGGACCAATAGGACCAGTGGGGCCTAAAAGTATAGTATACGTGATAAATAATGGTTGCGCGTTATTTTTAATATTTTATTTATATCATCATATGAGCAAAGGAAGTTAGATATATTTTTTAAATTTAAAGTAGGTTATATTTTTTTTATATAACTTAGAATGGCAAACAAGCTGACGGCCCACCTGATGGAAAGTGCTAACCGTCGCCTATAGACATGAGCAGTACCATGGACATAACAGAGTATACTGTTTCGCCATGATACCCCCCATGCGTTGCCATTCCTGAGGACTCAGGTGTTATTCCTCTGTACCCTGTAAATTCACGCCATGTTCCACCCTTCAAACCAAAACACTGCCGTGCAAACACAACTGCTTTACGGTTGAAACACGAATGGGACAGAGGTACCCAAGCAAATGACTTTTGTACGAAGTCTCCCTCTGGTATATATAAAAAAATATACGAGTATGTCGACTCATGCATACGTGCTGCTTCATATTATCTCTAATATCAAGAGAATAATCTGATCATGGTAGGTAAGTCTTTCTTTGAACTTGCAACTTTTCATTAACACATTGTATATTTGTTTCGATATACTTTCATATGTCAATTTTTTCAGATGCCTGTTTCATCGTAGTATATGTTTTATAATTTTAAAGCTTTTTTTCCAACTAATAGTTCTCATAACGTATTTTGAAAGTAATTAGTCAGCCTTTTCTACAGATTTAGTTAGATACCGCTTAGTCTTCGCAAAAAATTCGTCGTTATTAAAATAAACATTTACCCATAGGGCCTATATCTCCTGTATCTCCTTTTGAGCCTTGTTGACCTTTCTCTCCTTGAGGGCCAGTAGGTCCTGGTGGACCAGGTGGTCCGCGTACTCCGTCAGCACCTTGTGCTCCTGGAGGTCCTGGATCACCTTGAGGACCTTTATCTCCAGGTAAACCAACAGAACCAGGTTCGCCTCTTAAGCCTTGTATTCCTGGTGAACCCGGAGGTCCCTATAATTCATAAATTGATAAAGTTCATAAATGCAGACAGGGCCGTGCCTGACGGGCGTTCATTGCGTGCACCGCACGCAGGCGGCCGAAATTAAGAGGCGGCCAAATCGTTACAAGTTGTTTACTGGGCCGATTTCGGTTAACCAAAAACTGATTTTTTTCCCGGTTTGATGCCCTGTGTATAATAATAAACATTAAAAATTAAAGTAGTTTTTTTTAATGTTATCCTGGGGGCGGCCATACAGACTGGCACGCAGGCGGCCATATACCCAGGCACGGCCCTGAATGCAGATAAGTAGTGAAGATGAATTTATAATATAATTTAGTAGAAACATATTCTTCGTATAGATTCAGTAATAATTGAAAGTAATAAAAATATGAATATAATCTATTTGAGATAGATAGAAACTAAAAATCTACTTGCTTCTAAACTAATATATATTTCTTGCCTCATTTAATGCATGCTTGTATAAAGTTAAAGGGAAACTTACTGGTTCTCCGGTAGCTCCTTTAAAGCCTTTCTCTCCTGGTGGGCCAGCTTCACCTTTGTCTCCATCTTCCCCTGGAGATCCGATAGGTCCTGGAGCACCAGCTAATCCTCGTGGACCGGGTAGTCCGTCTCGACCAACAGCACCTTATGGAGATTTATTTATTTATTTTAAAATTGTAGTCCAAATTAGATTAATCTTAGCTTCAGAATCAGAACCTCATAAACAAAATAAAAAATATGAAATGCTATTTCTTTAGTTTTACTAACCGACTGGGCCTGGCTCTCCTACTTCTCCCTTTTGGCCTCCTGGTCCCGGATATCCTCTAGGACCTTCGCGACCTTGGGGTCCTTGAGGTCCTTCATGACCAGTTTCCCCCGGTTGTCCTTTATCTCCGCGTATCCCAGGTGGTCCGGAAGGACCTATATCACCTTTTGTCCCAGGTGGTCCCTAAATATAATTATCGATTTATTAAAAACAAAGGCAATACAAGATAGTGTAGTGCAGATAAGTATATTACGACTTACCACTACACCTGGTTGGCCTTGTTCCCCAGGTTGACCTGGTGGTCCTGCTGATCCAACAGGTCCAGGCTTGCCCTCAGGTCCTGGTGGCCCAGGTGGACCTTCTTTTCCAGTTTCGCCAGGTGCTCCTACATCACCAGGTGTACCAGGTATACCTGATGATCCTGGAGGTCCCTGTGGTCCAGGTTCTCCAATTGGCCCTTGTGGACCAATGGCGCCTACAGGGCCTTGTTGTCCACGTGCACCTGGTTCTCCCTGAAATACCAAATTTTATGGATTAAACACGTAAAGTAATAATATTGAAACTATTATTATCTTAAGTATATAATTGCAATTTTTTATTACCGTCGGGCCTCGTTCACCAGGTGGTCCAGGTAAACCCGGTTTTCCTTCAGTTCCTGGAGGCCCAACAGCACCAGGAAATCCACGTACACCTTCTAAACCTTGTGGTCCTCGTTCTCCTATTGGGCCAGGGGGGCCAGGTTGACCCGTATCTCCTTTGGGTCCTGGAGCACCATCAGATCCACGGCGTCCACGCGGCCCTCTGTAACCCTGAAAATATTAGTTCTTCATTTGTTACTTGTATTCATTTAGGGAACCTAGCATATATATAAATAAAGTGTGGATTTGATTATTTTAAAAAATTTTTGTTTATTATTGTTTATTACTACTTACCCGGGGTCCATTTTCTCCACGATCTCCAGGAGTTCCAACCATGCCCTGTCAAATTAAAAGTAAAATTGAATGAAAAGTATAATATAATAAAATATTGGTAGTACCAATTTTGATATAACTTTAATTACCATTACGCCTTTAGCGCCTCTTCTTCCCCGTCGTCCGGATGCACCTTTGTCTCCTTTCTCTCCTTGACTGCCTGGATATCCTTGTGGACCTGGTGGTCCAGCGGTACCTTTTTCGCCTGTTGGACCAGATGGGCCGGTTTCACCTCTTGGGCCTTCGGCTCCCTAGAAAGTTACAGTTTATTTAAAGAATATTTATTACAACATTTCATAATAAAATACAATTGTTGAGTTTCTTGCTCGTTCTTCCCAATTAAAATTGCATTTCGAACTGGATGGTAGTTTCATAAAAAAATGGTTATTTAATAATTTAAGATTTTGTTCTGCAAAAAATCGACTATTTATGGCAAAATCAATTAAAATCCAATACGGAATAGATGTTGATAAAATTTCTATAGGACTAATTTAAAAGTATATTCCTTTAGATAAATAAAGGATTTTCAACTCATAAATACCGAACTTATGACGGAACAAACAAAAAAAAAAACCGAATTGGGAACCCCCTCCTTTTTAAAGTTGGTCCTAAATGTTTATTGTAATGCAATGGAATACCTTTTGTCCTTCAGGTCCTTCGATTCCTGGAGGACCAGATTCTCCTTGCTGACCACGTTCACCTTTTGGTCCCATATCACCTTTTTCTCCATCAACTCCTGTGTCATAATTATTGATGACATTATATACAAATACAAAAATTGATAAACATCATCATTGAAATATCCGCGAATTTTGACAATGGTGTTATTTATGTCTTTAATCTGTCATTTTTACTTTCAATCATATTTTTGTCCATTTATTAGATTATTACAGATCTGTTTGGCTATATTGTTGAAAATTTTAGTAAATAACAATATAAATTAATAACACACCTCTAATTCCTTTATCTCCTTTATCTCCTGGTAAACCTCGAAGTCCAATATCACCTTTCAATCCACGAGTTCCAGGGAAACCCAACATGCCCTGGTAATAAATTTTGTTATAAATAATTATATTACAATCTATAAATCAAAAACAAGAAGTGTGGTTACTATAGTAAAAGTGGTAGCTGTATACCAATTATTTGTATACTTTTTAACTTGCAACGAAAAAAATAAACATGCCTATTTTCCCTACTTATTTCTGGAGTCTGGTCGCAATTCGTAAAGTATCCACTCAAGAGGGTTTGTCAAATAATTATGTACTTATATTACGCAGGAAAAATGGAGAAATGTTTTCAAAAGTTTTTGAAGAGTTGATAAAACTTTTGAAAAGGCACCGATTAGAGGTACTTAGTATCTTAGAAAATAAAAAAAAAAATTACGTATACTAGTTCAATGGAAGTTAGACTTGCTTTTAGAACAGACCAGTATTTATTATTTTTATATTAATGCAGTGGCATTTAATCATACTTGTGCTCCTTGTGGTCCGACGTCACCAGGTGGCCCTTGTTGCCCAGGATTGCCAGGTGTACCAGGTGAACCCTCTGGTCCTGGCAGCCCTGACATCCCTGGTTTACCTTGCGGACCCTGCAATAAATGTAAGTTCATATAAATTTAAATTATAAAGTAAATAATATTATTTTCGGGTTGCTTACGCATTCTTTATTTACTCTTTTATTAATTTTTAACATTTACTTTATTGCATAGATATATTATAGTTTATCTGAGTATAATACCAAGCCACTTTTGGTATCTGAATGCTTTTCGTTTCGTATTGTAATTTGTTTGGTTAGATTCAATATTTTTTGTACACACAGTCACCTTTTATTATCGTACAATTTATTCGGAATTCACAAGTAAGAAAATTTACTAACCTGGATTCCGGGAGCTCCAATAGGTCCTTGGGGCCCGGGAGACCCTGCTGGGCCCATTGGGCCTGGATGGCCCTGAGGCCCAGGGGGGCCAGGCTGGCCTGCAGCACCTTTTGTTCCTTGTGGTCCTTCAATACCAGGTAATCCGGGATAGCCGATTAGTCCTGGAAATCCTCTGGGCCCCATAAAACCTCGTGGACCCTAAAAATTTTAATTGTAATTATATTAAAAGTATAGCACAAAGCTTGTTCCTAAATATAATATCTAAGTCAACATCAAAAGTCGATAAATATATCAAGATTTCCTAAACCTTCTACGAAGTATTATTATTTTATGTATAGTCATATATAATAAGCCATTGTATTATAATTTTACTTTTTAAGACCCACATCTAATTCTGGCAATAATCTTATTGAGGGATTTTTGGAACAATGGTATTTTGTTTATGTATTTTAAAAACTTAATCTACTTTATTATGAGTACGTACGGAAATCAAAAGAAGCTATTAGTTGTATTTATATATTTAGCGCGTTAATGTGTGAAAAATGCTTACGTTTAAAACGACCAAACTTTCCACAGAATAAATAAAAAAATCATAACTTACGAGTTCACCTGATAGTCCTGGTGGTCCCGGAGGACCGTCGTCACCTGGCGGTCCATCTTGTCCAGGAGCTCCTGCTTCCCCTTGCAACCCTGGAGCTCCACGTTCGCCTTTATCACCAGGTATGCCGGGAAGACCTGGATAACCTTGTTCACCCTTGGGACCTGTCGGTCCCGTTGAACCACTTTCCCCGTCTCTACCTGCATGCCCACGACGACCTAGTCTTCCAGGAGGGCCTTGTGGTCCTCGAGGACCGGGTGGACCCTAGAAAATATTGAAACTCACAATCTAGAAGCCTATTTTGGTAGTAGTAAGGATATCGTTACATGAAATGTTAACGTGCGTGTTAATGTGCGATCCTCTCTGGAAGGCATCGTTATTATTTCCTAATGAATTCACAACGATGGCCTAATGAAATATACTTATAAAATTTTTAATCAAATTTATTACTTTTCAAATTCGTTTAAAAAATGTAATTACAATTTAATATTTTTATATAATTGGTACATACTGGCTCTCCTTGTTCTCCTTGCTCGCCCTTCGGACCTTCTGGACCGATTTCTCCCTCTGGTCCAGGTGGACCGCTCAAGCCCATAGGCCCCTCGACACCTCGCATTGCAGCCTAAAAATATGTCAGAATTTAATTTTAATTACAAAAAAAAAAAAAAATATAAAGGAACCCTGTGAACGTGAAAATCCTGAAAATAATATACCATGTGTTGTGTTAACATCTGACGTAGAGCTTCTGATTGAACATCAGGTCCTTTTTCATTAGCAGACTGGTGTAGCTGGAAAAGAAAAATATGTGACAATACGAGATACAGTGAAAGACAAATTAGTTTACAAACATACCAAAATTACGTAATTTGTAAGTTAAAAGAATCGTTTTAAATTTACGTCCATTTTTTTCCTAACGCATAACTTTTTTCTTCTAAAGCCAACTCGTCTGCCAAACGTGGCAACTACTAGCAAAACTCTTCTTTAAGGAGACGCCTATGTTCAGCAGAGGACAGTTGACGGCCGAGGTGCAACTGATTACTTTTTAATTTCTTTAAAAATCAAATATTAATATTTACATGTGTAGTTTTGATTTTTAATTTTTTTGTGTAAATTTAGTAAATAAATAATAAATTTAGTAATTTTATATTATAAATATTATAATATTTTTATAATATAAATATGAAGATAATTTTTATATGTAATTTAATATTTATATATGTAGGGAGATGTTTGAAGAAACTGTTCGGGTGTAACTTAATGACTGGCTAATAAATCAGCAAGCACGCCGTTACACTAATTGGTTATAATAATCATCTATCATAATGACAAATGGCAGTTTTGGATATTACGAGTATTTATGTCTATTTTTAACCGACATTAAAAAGAAGGAGGTTCTCAATTCGGTATGTAATTTTTTTATGATTATGATTTTATGTATGTTACCTCATAACTGTTATTTTTAAACCGATTTGGACAATTCTTTTATTATCTGTAAGGATTATGGTTACACATTATTCTCATAGGAATTTTATCAAAATTGGTAGTAGTTTAATTTTAAAATAAAGAACTGGTTTTGTCACAATTGAATTAGTTTCTTTTGTAAGACACAATCTTCTTAAGTAAACAACATAAAAGGAAAAATATGTATAAATATACATGAATGTTTATTGTACATATATATATATATATATATCTAACTGTTGTGATACTTGCTGGGAAACTAATTATAGGTTGAAACATTTTAGGATTAATTGTCATCGAAACGAAATGGAAATGTATTCTATATTTACGAGTATATTCTGCGCTAGCAGATCAGATAAATAGAAGTGTTAGAGTTTTAATTATGTTGATGCTATTGTTGATTCTTTGTATGGTTATAATAAAGTAAGAATACAATTGTCATCTCTTCTTTTCAAAGCTATGTTTTAATAGGCGAATAATGCACATCCTGACAAATCATATTATTATTATTAGGTATTGTTGTTTTGATGTTTGTTCGCTTTTGGTCACAACAGAATATCAGTGTTTTGCTCTTTTGAGAGCAAAGCAAACTGAGTTGTGACTATTACATTGTGTTAGTTCTTTTATGCATTTTTCTTTTTCTTCGTATATGTATTCTTTTATCTCTTTTTTTGTGTGTATGCCTATCTATATCTGTTGTTATTTGTGTGCAGTAAGTTAAGCAAATAAAGTATCTATCTATCTTTGTAATCACTACATAGTATAAAATAAAGTCGCTGTCGCTGTTTGTCCGTCCCTTGTATGCTTAAATCTTTAAAACCAGGCAACGGATTTTGAAGCGTTTTTTTTTTAATAGATAGAGTGATTCAAGAGGAAGGTTTATATGTATAATACATGCATTATATTGTAGAGAAACACTGATAATTTTAGAGGTTCCTAATGTGATGTCGTAAATAATTTTTATTTGTGTGTTTTTTTTTAAATGTAGTGATGATGTATACTGTAGTACAATATATTTAGTATCAGTATTGCACCCGTGCGAAGCCCGGAACAGGTCGCTAGTCGATTACATTTGGTGCATTTGGAATTTCTCTTAGTATGCTTTATTTGGATGCAGGTGGCTCAGGAACGTACCTTATGGCAATCCATAGGGAAGGCCTATGGTCAGTAGTGGAAAGATAATGGCTGAGATGATGATGATGATGCTTTGTTTATATTCATTGTGATGCTTTAGACATCACATCATAGTTTTTAACTTCAACATCTTAGCGTATTTTGCTGCTATTAAATCTGCCTACATAGAATGAAGAATATCGATTGGAAAGTTATGAAATACTTTTGAAATTAACTTATAGAGTTTTGTATTCTGCGGAGTCTGGGGCTTGGTGTTTAGTATCAAAAGTTGGTGTGTTGGTGTATTTTAGCTTTTATATCATAAAATGTTTTTTTTTTATTCAGTGTAGAGTTCATTTTCTTTGTAATAAATTGTCGTAACTGTTACTCGTAAATATGTAATATGTACTTACTGGCACAACAAAAACGTGTCCAGGTGGACCCGGAAATCCTTGTTGACCTTCTGCTCCCTGCTTTCCTGGTTCTCCTTTGGGACCTCTAGGCCCTTGTGGGCCAGGTGGCCCGGGATATCCACGAGGACCCATATAGGTTCCTTGGCCCCCATAATCGTAATATGTTTCCGAATCGTACCCAATTGAAGCGTTGCCCTGAAAATATATATATTTTTTTTTACCTTAATCTTTTTTTCCTGCAATATGGAAAATCAAAAAGGCTTTTGGCCAACCTGATGGAAGATAATTATAAATGGCTAGACATATAGATGAGTGGTTATTACTTTGATTGTGTACAAAAATTGTATATAAAGATTGATTTTGTCTTATTATTTAATTTTATTAATATTGTTTGGTTATTAATACTTGTGTACATATTTTAATATTTGATATAAGAATACAATTCTAGAAATTATCAAGTCATACGTTATCGTAAATATTTATTTAGCTGCTGATGTTACATAAAAATTAAGTGTATAGTCAGACGCTGATAGATAAAATCTTACAATATCTTAACTGTTTATAACAGTCTTTTTTTTCATGGAGGTTTGCCATGAATTACAGATATATCATATATTAAAAAAATATTTACAGAAAAAACAAAAAGCAGAGGCAAATTTTTGCGATATCATACTCGACCATAATCCGGGGGATGTGTAAGCCATTCGTCGTCTTCCGTCGTTGTCATAGGACTGTAGGCAGCTTCGGTGGTAACAAGAGTCGTTTCCGTTTCGTCCTCGTCCCCTCTCTTGAGCTGGAAAATTCGCTGCCATGTAAAGATTAGGCGCGATATTATAATTTAAAGTTGGTTTACATTTATATAAAAGTTATACAGATAAGTATTTTTATATTCTTTAGGAATAATTCATAATACATGTACAATAGGAATGTAAAACAAATTGACAGTCTACCTGATGGATAGTGGTTACCGTCGCCTATAGTGATGAACAATACGATGGTCATCGCTGTGTAGAATGTTACGCTCATAGTATCTACCGTATATTATTATTCTAAGAATTACGGTGTTAGGCTCTCTGTAATTTCACTGTCATATCTTACCCTTCAAACTTTAACACAGCCATGAATGCATAGCTGCTTAGCGGTAGATACTCGAGTGGGATACAAATACTTATACCGAGGATTATTATACAAAGTTTCACCCTTATAAACAATATAAAGAAATAATTATTTTAGGTACATTTTTCTTATTTGCCCCATATTTCTTATATGCCAAAATGGATTTTGGAGTATATTTTTAAAAGAATAATAAATAAAAAGATGTTAAAATCTTACTCTGGGCGTGGTGATTTCCAATGGTTCGGGCTGTGTTGATAACACCACACTCGGTGGTGCTGGCACGTACTCACTTTCGTCTGTAAACCGGCCGAAGATGCTGTTTTCATCTGAACAAAGGCACAATGAAATATCAATAAGAACAAAGCAACTTCAAACTGAAGTAAATTAAAAAAATTACCAATAATTTTAAAGACAAAGTTGAACAAATAGTAGCTGATACCTGAATCAGTCAATGGCAGATATGGTCCGGTTACACCGAAGGCGTTAGCGATTTGCCAGTTAGGTCTTGTTGTTGTCAAATCTCCTGCAGCAGGCCAATGGTTATCAGATCGGTTTCGTCCCATCCACCTCCTTCTACCGAAATGTCCATATTGTCTATTACCATTTTCATCCGCACTTAGTGTATTTTGCATAGGATGAACTGTTGAAGCTTCTATTTCAGGGTCGTAATCTGTATATTCGTCTGGCAAATCGATATTGTCTTTTGGGCTAACGGTTGTTCTTGTATCATAAGATACAGAAGGTGCACTGTAAGGTTTATATCCAACGCAGTCAGGAGCGATCGAAGTACACATTTCATATGCTGTGTCCGGTTTGTTGGTAAATTGCAGTAACTCGATGTCTCCCTGTGATTAAAGATAATTAATTAAAATAAAATTGTACTGATTGGTATTTATGCAGTTCTGTCACACCTCGGACACTTCAAATAAAACGCTGCGATCCGTGCTTTTCACAACTACAGAAGCAATTAACGTACAGATGTTATGACATATATACATATATACTGTACTTTAGTGTATACTTATACTGTGGTTTTGTGGTGTGGATACTGCTTAGAGTTAGTTTTCAGAATTGACGCAAATGCATGAGGCGATTATAAAAATTAAGAAATAGATAAGCATAAAGATAAATAACGTTTGGTTTTTAACTGTCTATCCTTGAACCTGATAGAAAAATATACGGACATAATACAAGCATACAGAGTTTTATTCCTAGGTTATAGTATATTCTCATTCTGGTTACAGTTATAAGCCAAGAGAACTCAATGAGGTTTTAACTCAAAACTAATCGTATAGTTTTCAAGCCACTCGAAACCCTTTGATTCTACTTGGCCCTTGTTATTTATTGACTACGATCGATTACATCGATGACTTGTGCCCTTTTGGGTCACCTTTATTGGTCGCTGTTGAATATTATATGTTATGATTGTTGATTAATTAAATTTTACTAATATTATAAGTTTGCAAAGATATTTGGTTATTTGTTATTCTATTACGATGGATGGATAAAGGATTATAATGAAAACAATTTTCTAGATAGACCATTTACAAATTAATACATAGAGTACTTTTTTCCTAATTAACTAATGCCGTAGGATACAGCAAGTATAAAATAAGCATGCAAAATTTAAAAAAAATTATGACAATTTGATATTTTAAGTGTTCTATCATGGGAATATTTTTCTTATTACATTTAATTTATAAATATCATAAAGTGATTACTTCGTAAAACTGATCAGGTGTAACCTGGGTGCCCATGACCAATGCTCCGGCTAAGTTGAATGTGCTTCCTGGCTTGCGGTCCAGGGGTAGTGTTTCTTTAATATTGCAGTCAACTAGTAAAGTCGCCGAGTCTCCTTTTATGCTGAGTCCTAGCCGATGCCACCTTCGGAGATGTATATTAGAAAAGAACATGAGATGATGAGTTTTTTTTAATTATAACGATACTCGGTCATTAATGTAAATAAAATTGTTTATGTACAACATCGAAATTCTAATAAATAATAAAAAAAGAAATTATTAAAACAATTTGATTTTGATTTTAAAAGCACAATTTTTTTATTTTATAAAGTTTTTTTTATACATCTTAGAATGGCAAACAAGCTGATGGCCCACCTGATGGAAAGTGGTAATCGTCGCCTATAGACATGAGCAGTAACATGGACATAACAGAGTATACTGTTTCGCCCATGATACCCCCCATGCGTTGCCATTCCTGAGGACTCTGGTATTATTCCTCTGTACAAAGTATTCTGAGTCTATTATTTTAATGATTTTTTTACAGGCTTTTATTATTTTAATGAGGAATTTTATTATGATGATTGAAGATTCAGACTTTCCAAACATATACAGTTTAAAATGTAAAAGATAGCAGATCCAATTATTTTTATATATAGAGAAATGGAGGTACATTATTATATTATAGTACATTATAATGGTGCTATACTCCACCAATGTACATTTTTGAGCCGGATTTTACTCACATTCCATCGGCGATATTAACACGAAACGTAAGCAGTTCATGATCAGGAGGATCCCCTCGGGTATCCTCATAGTACAACTCTACTAGTTCACCCACTACAAGCTGCAACTGCTCATCACCAGCATCAGAATATAACACGAATATCGGATTTTGATCTGAACCTGCATAAAAAAGGTGTCTTTAAGAACAAAAGAATAATTATTGAAATATATTCCATTCAATTTAATATTATAATATTTAATGTCGTGAAGCAGCTATGCTCCCATGACTATCATCATCATCATCATCATATCAGCCATTATCTATTTCCTGCTGAGTATAGGTTTTCGACATAGACTGCCACAAAGAACGGTCCTGAGCCACTTCCATTCACTGACTCCCTCTGCAATGCATTTGAGGTCGTCACAGCACATAGTGTGTGTCGCCACTTAAGAATCTTTCTTTCGTATTGGTTGTTGGTTCCATGACCATGTTTTAAGTTACAGGATGAGATATAGTAATAAAATTACAGGGTACAGAGGTATAAAAATATAGTCTTTAGACATTGCAAAGAATGATTAAAACCATTCATCTCATTCAAGTAACGCAGTGTCTTCTGTGATGTTCTTTGTTGTCACAATCTACTAGATTAGCCGTTAATTTGTTTGTCATTCTAAATTGCATAAAAATGTACACGTACACTCTTTGTTGTTTGATTGTCACAATATAAAAAAAAAAACATGTGTTTTAGATTTTTATAATCGGTTGCGTGGGTTGCGCCTGTCTCTGCCGAATATATCCCTAATAAATAAGGGAGTTTTGATTACTTCATATTTCATTTTAACAATTATGCGATTCTTTATTATTATTGCTTGAAAAATGGTGTAACTCGTTAAAAGCGGGGCATCTGGCAATATTAATCCTAAATAACTTATCTGTCTCAAAACCGACCCTAACTTTATATTATAATTTTAGTATGTATAATAACTGTTTACGTTGCGGCTACTTTTTAATTAAGATATTCATAAATATTCATAAAAATATTATGCAGATTCCTGGAGTAATTTTTAAAGAAGTAAATTTTAAATTTACCTGGCAGTCGCACTACCGTGAGCACCGAAAAGTCTTCTGGGAAAGTGTTATAAAACATCCCAGCGGCGAGTTGATGCAACGTAGCATTTTCGTGAAGGCTATATGCTGAATATTCAGAGGGAGGTGTTAATGGGGACTGGCATCGGCCTGGGGTCCGTGAAAGTCCGTCGGGCAGTTCTCCTTCTCGCACCACGGACAGAACGTCGAATACCTCTAGGTCATCTGAAATCGGCAATTACCAATATATCATATGTTTTTACATAACTAAGCAGTTAAAGTGCTCTATGTATTATATATTCTATATGTATTATATATTATATTCAAGAGCAACTTTTACCTATAATTGAATTATTATAATTAATAATTTTAAAATGTATTCATAGTTCTTAGATCATCTTTATTTTCTCATATATATATTTTATATCATTCATCGAAGAATTAAGGTCGACGTACTATAGAAGGGCAAGTAATAAAAAATCGCAATTGTGTGTTTACAAAATCGCAGTACCTTATATTTAAATGTAATATTGTATTTCTTGCAACATTGTTATTTTCATTTGTTATATTGTTTTTTATATATAGATATATAAAAATTAATCTCTAAATGAGTCGCTTATCGTAAAAAACGAGAACGGGTGGACAATTCGATTAATTAATTTCTAAAAATACTTGTTGAATTTTCAGGAAGGTTCTTATAAATAGAAAAATTGGAATATGGCTTGCGAAATTATAAAACCTCATTTTTTCCAGACAAATTGTTCTTATAGTTAATTTTAAATCTTCGTGTTGTTTACACGTATTTTAAAACACTATCGGGAGTAAACGTGATGAAAAATTTTTTGCAGGTTATTTTTTGCCGTCAAACACATCTTTTGACCGAACGATGTCCGCCGGGTTAGTTTCGCTAGTATTTAATCTATTAGCTAGGTTAACAATAAAAATTAAGCGATAAAAGTATCGCGCATCCATCTCATTTATTTACATAAAATCGAAAACTTAAGTGAGTTTTCTATCCCGTAGATAAATAAATATTTGTCTATGGAATTTAAAATTCTCTTGACTGAAGACCGAAGCTGAATTTTGTATTAGTAGATAAATTCCATGTGGTACGTTCTAAAAAAGGATTTTTGAAAAACTCACGGGTAAGCATTTCTTATTGCACGCGAGTAAAGCTGCGGTATTTAGTATAGTGAAATATAAATAATGTAACTATAGACGTATCGATTAAATAAATTAATTTATGGATATTTAAAATGTCGATCACCTTTAATCGGATTTAGGTTCTTTGCCTTTCTAGACTTATCAACAAACAAAAATACTTTAATATAAGTACGTACTTATAAGTATGTGTATTTAGCGATCTTTGGCCCCGATCAATGTCGTTTATATTTTAAAAGTAGACATTTCTACTAAAATTTATGCGTAGGCATGCATTCGAAGGCTAAAATAAAAGTACATAGAATTAAATGAATATTATTTACTCACCATCTGCGTTTCCTCCGCTGAGTACGCAAAACAATAAAAGGAGAAATTGTCCACTTGTCTGAAGAGCCATAGCGGCTCAAAAAATATGTTAAAGGAATTATATTTACATTTGATCCCATTCCGGCAGACGCATAAATAGAGTTTAGGCCGCGAGAGGGTATGAGCAGCCTCTCGCCGCCCTCTCAGGACAGGCTAGACATGTCCGTGCGTCTGTTAGCGTGGAAAATACTGAGTGGCCAACACATTACTCCACCATATTGACTCGCATCTGCACAATTATTACATTGATGTCAATATAATGAAGATCAATGAACTAGAGTTCAGTGAGTGTGCTCGTGCACGTCGCGTTGATGACCCATTTGAATCTCGGTTTCAGCAGTATCATAATTGAACGAAATTGAGTAAAATTTTATGATAATTTCTTTTTATGAAAATAGAAAAGACTAAATCCTTTTATATCCTATAAATTATTATTATATTATAAATACTGAACGTTTGTAACAACGGATGTACGGAGAGATGGATGTTTGTCATTTCTGCACGTAAAAACTACTCAACGAATTTTAATAAAATTTAAAACATAGGTTAATCCTAACTTAGCTTATGAGATACTTCAACTATTGATTTACGCGGGATTTAGATAGTTTTTCATAAGATAGGCGGTATAATAGTTTAACAGACTGCTTCACCTTCTAATGTTTACGAGTTCTGAGTATGTCTCATTTTGTTGGGTGTTATCTAAGTGTATACGACTGTATACACTTTGAATATATTTTAAAAAAGCCAGTCAAGTGTGAGTCAGACTTGCGCAACGAGGCTTCCGTACAAAATCATTGTTTAATTTTTTTGTGAAATAATTACAAATTTACGGTTTTTGGATTTTTCCTTTACTTGTGCTACATGATATTGCTTCTTGTCACATTTCATGATTCTAGGTCAATCTGAGTATATGATATTAATTTCAACTTGATACCTCCACGCTTTTCTAAGGAAAAAGGTCTTGACAGACGGACATACAGACGGACAGACAATGCAGTGATTCTATAAGGGTTTCGTTTTTTTCTTTGGCGGTACGGAATTCTACAAATGTGATTTGTTTGACCAATATTCTATTTTCTATTAGATATCTTAACAAGAATACGGCTATATAAAACTATATTTTTATGGTATGAGTATTTTTCTCTTCTCGTCTTTCATAACTAAAATTCCAATTATAATTAATCATTGATATTTAAGTTTATTGGATGTCAACGCTCTTTTGTTCCAAGCGTTTACAAAGCCTAAAAGAACATTGACGTGTGTTTATTTATGTACTTACTCGGGGAAATCTCTACGAAGTCCCCATAATATACTCGATCGAACTTATTCAGGCCGATTTAAAAAATATACGCTAGTGTATCAACAAGTAAATTTTTTTTATTACATTTTACTAGCTATTTTTTGCAGCTTCATCTCGTGGGCGTGGAACTCGTTATCTCCCGTTCCCGTTGGAATTTCGGGAAATCGTTTCTTAGTGGATGCCTGCGTCATAAGTAAAAGAAACGCAAGTACATTTTTTCATTTACATTGATGGTGAGATATGGACCTCATGATGGGAACAGGTTAGCATCGCCCAGAGACGTGGGCGTTGTCAAATATAAAGAAAACTTTTGACTTTTTTTATGAATAAAGTATCTAAATTCTGCAGTTTAGGTTTTCATAGCTAGAACGAATCTTTTTATTTACTAGTATACTATATAGTATACTACTTTTTAGGTACTTATATATAATATTATTGTGTCATACTAGAGGGAGATTTTTTTAAAAATCATCTGCATGTTTTTTCATGGGTGAAAATTGTATGCTAATTCCGTCTGCGCTATCGGTATACAGTGGAAGAGCACCAGTGAGAGGTGATAGGTAAGGATGAAAGCAGGTCAGATTGCCCATTGTGACGAATTCAATAAGATTTAATCACAATGGTTTCTAGGGAGAACCGAGTGGAGGTCGACTAGATATTTAGTTGGCCGGATAACGTCGGCAATAAAGAAGCAGGTATGTAGGCACTATTTACGTGCAAAGACATTTTCGTTGCCTGATTGTGTATTTAAAATATGTTAGACACTTGTCTTATTTTAATGGGTAGCGCATGCCAGAGTGAAGAGTGTGAAGAGTATAGAGACACAAGGCCTTAAGAGTGAAGGAGTTAAAATAAAAATAGAGCTATATACTGGAATAGAGAAAGCAAGAGAGTTATTAGAGTGAAGTTCGTCATTTTATGTTCTAAAAAAAATATTTTTTATTTCCAAAAATACTTACTACCTACTTGGAGAGAGAAGCTTAGATACTCTCCAGGTGTCCGTTTTATATTTAATTTGCTGTAGCTAATACGCGTCTGTAGTAGGCTCTATATGTAAGGGACGCGTTGGGTTGCGCACTGAAGCGTATTTCAGACCCGACCTTCATAATAAGAGGAGGATATCGCGTGTACCCACTTCAATCAGTTCCAATAAAGTAAATTAAGACCGTTACTAATAAGGACTATGTATCCAATAAGGGCCTTTACATTTAAAATTGGAAAAAAAATATATTCATAATTGAAACATTAAATAAATAAAACTATGTATATTGGGAGTACAGATAAAAGACGGAGTTATAGATAATTCAAATCGCCTATTTTAATGTTTATTAACTGAATGTATTAAGGCGTAGTCTTTACGTTCGATATAAACTAAAAATTTTTAGCAATGTACATATTATCTACTGAATCTTCTTTTAATTTGAATTGCAAAATTCTAAAACTCATATAAATAAAAGTGTAATTTTTGCTTATTAAAGAAGATAGTTTTGATTAGTAAAATAATTTTGGGTCGAACTCAGCTGTCTATGCATCAGTTGATAACTATTTATTTATTCCTTATTACATTTTATAATTATATGTAATATAAATCGCTTATTAATAAAGAGAAACTCACCAATAATAATATGAGTCTCCCAATCTTCTTTCCTGGGTGCGTTTGGTAACTTGAGATCATATAGTTCAGAGACAGTCAGAGAGTAAGTAAATAGTCGGCGTTGCTCTTATATTGATGGAACTCAAAAAAGAATTAGTGTAACCATCTACAACACTATAAATAGTTTATAGTGTTGAAATTTGTAGATAGTAAAAGATTTGACCAGTGTTACCTTGTTGTAACAAAATAGCACTAGTCAAAAACAAAACGTTTTTTTCATTATAGGCTTTGCGCAGAATTCATCTGTTTAAATACATCTGTAATGTAACCAGTATCTTATAAACGGTGTCTCGATGTAGCGTCTTGAAATGTTTATATGAGATATTTTGTTAAAATTTAGTAAAATAACTACTTACTTTTAGTGTCACTTATTTTTAGTTTACTTTATTTGGTTCCACGGTCTAGTTCTTGTTCGATGCTCTAATTCTTCTGAAGTGGTGCTTTGATTCGAGGCGTCCCTTGAGATTTATACGAGTAACAAGTAAATCAATCATGTGCATAACGTAAGCGGGGTTCGATAGATATTCTATGGTGGGTGAATTATCGGTAATAGGCATGTTGTATACGTATATACAGATAGATTATTGACGGTTTATATAACGCAAGATACGAGCATGTATAAAAAGCTCTACGTAAACAAGGATTTTATAAATGACAAAAGAAAACAATATATGTTTTGGCATTAGTTTTTTAGCTATATTATTTTTTCTTGTCATATATTGTAGGCAGTTTATGTAATGATTTTTTTTTTAGCTTTACGTGATTTTTTGCTTCTAAATTGATTCAGAGTTGAGCATCTAAAGGACAAGAATTTCTTCACTTTTAAAAATTTTACAATTTTACTTTTTATAGTTGATAGATAAGAGATATATTTTACTTTTTCATATTTGACGACCTTGGTGGATCAGCGGCTTAGCACTCCACAATTTTTATTCATATGTATGTTGTTCGTATTGGTGTGGGTATTTTCTATGTATAAAATGTATGTATATATTTACAAAAAAAAAAGAGTATTTAAGTATGTTTATCATTTTTGGTATCTATAGCACGAGCTCTGCTTAGTTTTTTTAATGGGTGATAATAAAATGGTAACTTCGCATGCGATATCAGTATACACTGGTGGGGCACCAGTGAGAGATGATAGATGAGAACGAAACAGGTCAGTTCCCCATAGTGAAGATTTAATAAAGAATTTATCAAGATAATTTCCAGGAAGAACCGCATGGAGGTCGTCCTAATATATGATAGGACGAGTGAAGATCGACCTGATTGGATATATTGCTAGCAATGGAGCTGTTAGATCTCCAATGATAACAATCCCTTCTCTCCCGTTTCACTTAGAATTTAGATGGCGCTGTTTCATAAGTAGCAAAAAAATATGGTGTCTTTAGGACAAGGCGATTAATTGCATTAGTCGGGGTACGTGTCCAGTATTCACTTCACAATTGGTATGATTGTGTGGCACGTACGCAATTAAGTATATACGTACGTGTTATTAGTACTATAATTAACTATAAATCTATTTTTTATTGTAAATTTTAGTATAATTTAGTACCTATTACTTCTTATACTAAAGCTTGGAATATCTATACATATCTAATATATATACTTATTCGTTTGATGGCTGTAATTGTCAAGGAATTCGATTTGTTAAATTATTATTGTACACGAAGTATTTGGTGTTAGACGACGTACTCCAAAATGACACCACTTCTATAGTTTCACTAGTGTTTTTTAATTTATTTACATATTAAATTTATAGTTATTAAACATTACATCAAGAGATACAAGAACGATATGAAAAAATTGAATAATTCTTTTTCTTTTTTTTTTATATATATTATATGGCTTCTTTCCAGCCATTACCAGGAATGAAGAAAGACATTGGTTGCTTTTTATGTCAGTCAATCAATACAGCACAACACAGCTAATGGAAAAACAAACAAATAAAATTAATTTGACCGAGAATATCTAGTAAATTTTGTACATTAATTAGGTAGGTTTATTATAATGGCTTTGTTGCAGTCGCATTTATTAGTAGATCATGCTGTGTGCACATGTTGTGGCAAGTTTACCTGATCAATACATTATGTACTTGCATATTATAATTTAAGTTTGTATTTGTAAACTTCTGTTATGTGCGCCTAATAAATAAAATAAAATAAATAATGTTACAAAACTAAGTTGGTGAATTAAAACTAATGAAATTTTATTAAGTGCTATTATTTCATTTAATTGCATTTATTTTGAGGTTATAATAAAATATTTACACAGTTGCACTTATGAGGGTATTTTGTAATCCTTTTAGGTAGCTTTTGGGTCTATATGTAGATTGTATTGTGTTTCACATTTTTGATAAAAAATTAATAAATTAGGTGGCACAAACAAAAATTTAAAAACTGTTTTAGAACATTGAACAAGTTTTTTAGTACAAATAAAGTTCTTGTCCTTTTATATAATAGTGATGATATGAAATGGGGATTTGGCCTATTACGGTCATTTTAAAATTTAAAATGCTTCTTTTGTATCCCCCAAAGAAAAAAATATTTTGTCATTTATTTCTTTTATAATATATCTACATAATCAATTTTAATAAAATAATCAATGATATCTAAACTTTAACATGATAATATTTGTAGTTGCCGAGATAAAGCGCTCTAACAGTCAGACGGACGGACGGATGGACAATGTCGCACTATATGCGTGCCATCCTAAATTTTGGCCCGGAACCCTAAAATATCTGAATTTTAGAGTGGGTAATCTTGTTGAAGATGGAATTTTAAGCAGGTATCATCTACGTAGGAGTAATATTTTCTTAGAACTATTTTAAGGTAATATTATTTTTTAGTTATTTAAAAAAAATTGTAACATCACCATTTTATCGCCATTTAGAGTGACGATTAAAAATAGGAGATATATTTGAAGAATTATGTGGATATATATGTATAAAAGTTAATGAAATAATTTTATTATTTTTAAAACTTCCGTAATTTTGTAATGATGTCTATACCTTTATATAAGTTCATAAAATTTTCCATTATACATATAACGGAAAATTTTATTATTTAATATAAAAAATTAAAATAATTTTTCAAATGACTTGTATAACATATTTTTCTTACTTGATATGTGGCATCACATAGCGTATATTTAAACACATTTTTAATTATTTTATTAACTACTTCTTCATAAAAATTAAAACCTTTTAGAAATATATGTATATTAATGAAATTGTTTTCTCACTTTCTTCAAAATTGCGAATTTAACTTAAAAAAAGAGACAAAACAGTTCAATACCTACAATAGGTTTCTGAGAGGTGTGATGTTTTTAAAAATAAGGTAATTTTTTAAAAAGAAAGAAATGGAACGCCGTAGTTATATTGTCAGATTTTATGTAGACCATTTCTATTTTGCTCTATATCGTAAAAAGTAAAACTCAAAAAGAATTTCTGCATATTATTTACCATGTCAGTATGTATATAAAAATAAGTATAAAGAACAAATATTAAAGATGCTGATTCAAAATGCTGTTTGTAAACTGCAAAAATATAAACTTTTTTAATTTATGTGTTGCTAGCTTTTACCCGCGTCTTTGTCCGTATGACCGGGATATGTTTATCGACCGAAATAAAGAGAAGGCAATGTTTTTCTACTTATACATCTCATATAGTATGTGTATACCTACTAAATTTCATTGCGATTGGTTAAGGTACAGGTAACAAACGAATAAACTCACTTTCATATTTATTAGTAAGAGTAACGATGTACATATTTAAATAATAATTATAAAAAAAAAAACTAATTAATAAAAGATTTGGTTGTTTGTTCGTTTGTTTATAATGGATAAACTTAAATCTACTTTACCGATATAAAAAATCTTTTACTTTACTTTTCAGAAATAACAACGCATAGAGGGTATCACACGAATGCGAAGTAGTATACTCTGTTATGCTCATGATACTGTTCACGTCTATAAGCGACGGTTATCACTTCCTATCACGTGAGCTTATTTGCTATTCTAAATTGCATAAAAAAGTTACATTACCAACGAGTAATATAGTCTATATTATTTTTGAGAATTCTATCTACCATGCGCAGCCGGGTTGTGTCGCTAGTATCTTATAATTTAAAATTTAACTTACGAGTACGATGTAACGACACAGAGCCCTCAAGGCGCGAAATATACTCGCATTTGTATAATTTTAATATCATTAAGGGAAAGAACTTTTGTCGTCGTTAAAAACTTATACTGTTTCATTTTAAGTTTAACCATAAGAATAAGGAATGGTTCAACTTAAGTATTATTATCCAATATTGAAGAAATTTAATAAGTAGCGAGTTGTTTAAAACTTAAGTTATGACT